AAAAAAAAAAAAATGACATGTTTCGCACATTTATGACACAATAAGCCCCTATAGCGTTTCAACAATAGAAACAACAAAGCAAATGATACGCTAACATGCCGACAAATAAATCCTACACAACGTTCTCTCGCCCATAGTCAAGCTGCACTGGCAATACTAACAACTACTTGATCTTGTAAAGATGTCTTCTTCTCGTCTTGCGAAGTTGCGAAAACAACCAGACAGCACCTGGGCACTACTTCAAAAACGTTTAATCGCGCTCCCGGATCCGTTCGAAAAACTTTCTCTGCCTAATGTTTGGAACTTCATCGTCAACAAGTCTCATTCCTTGAGCACTAATCCAGGATACGTATCCACAAGTCTTATCACCACGACAACTTTCATTGCTGGATCAGCAAGTACACTTGTCACTGGCACACAAGAGATGCCTCTAAACATCTATTCAATCTTCGTTGGTCCACCGACGACAGGGAAATCACAAGCCATTAAAGAATGTGCTGTTTTTCCGATGGTTGCAGTGGTCAGGGAAACAGATTCCTCATCTCCAGTAATTCAAAAGTGCACATCCTCAGGACTTATAAAGACAATCGCTGACAACAAAAAGGGATTCCTCTTGTCCGGTGAGATTTACGATGTCTTATTTAAATTACTGAAGTCCGACGAAGAGAACGCCACTGGAGACGTGCAAGTTCTGTGTCAGCTATTTTCTGGAGAGGAAGCTTCATACAGGTACGCCACAGAAAGAACGCGCGAGATTGCATCAAACACGCCTTTTTCCATACTTGGTGCTACACAAGTTCCGTTTGCCGCCCGCCTTGTCACGCTATTAGACCAGGGACACGGTCTTATTGACCGATTTTTAATAACATTTCCAAAATGCCTCAGGCCATCCCCACAAGAAACGAACCAAGCAGTGGAAGCATTAAAGGAAAGTGCCCTTTCAAATTGTGAAGATATATTCATAGAAATCGCTAGATTGCATACATCGCGCTCAAGCTACACACTGACGCAAGAGGCAAATGACACTGTCAACGGTCTCAATGAAGGGTTCATTGCAGAAGTCAATGAAGCCATTACAGAAGGCAGGACTCCGCCAAAGACAAAAAAGATCGACGTA